ATAGAATTGAAATTCCAGAAGCAAAACCTCAATTTCTCAACCAACTCATCTTCGACAAAGTCTCCACCACCTACCACTGGGGATAGGAGAACCTATTCAGTAAATGATGTTGGGAAAACTGACTGACCGCATGCAGAAGATTGAAACAGGACCCCTATCTATCCCCATACACAAAAGTTAACTCTAAATGGATCAGAGACCTAAATGTAAAACCTCAAACCATAAGGACCTTAGAAAATGAACTGGCATTCAATTCCTGAAAAAAACTCGAAACCCACAGGCCATAAGAGATAAGATAGACAAGTGGGACCTCATTAAACTGACAAGCTTCTGCAAAGCCAAAGAAACCATCAAGAGAGCAGGGAGACAGCCTACAGACCAGGAAAAAGTATTTGCCAACTCCAGGTCTGACAAAGGCTTAACATCTTGGATCTACAAGGAACTCACATGTGCTGAAAAGAAAAAAACAAACAACCCCATTATAAAGTGGGCAAAAGATATGAAAAGACACTTCTCAAATGAAGACATCCGAGCAGCCAACAGACACATGAAAAAATGTTCAACCTCACTAATCATCAGGGAGATGCAAATCAAAACCACACTGAGATACCACCTAACTCCAGTCAGAATGGCAATTATCAATAACTCAAAAAATAACAGCTGCTGGAGAGGGTGTGGCAAAAAGGGAACACTTCTACACTGTTGGTGGGAGTACAAACTAGTGCAACCTCTGTGGAAAACAGTATGGCGATTCCTAAAAGCTCTAAATATTGACCTCCCATATGACTGCACAATCCCCCTACTGGGAATATACCCTGAAGAACTCAAATCACTCTATAGAAAAGATACCTGTACACGAATGTTTATCGCAGCATTGTTCACAATAGCAAGAACCTGAAACCAACCATGCTGTCCATCAAAAGAGGACTGGATTAAAAAACTGTGGTACATATACACAATGGAATACTACACGGTCATAAAAAAGAACAAAATCATGAATTTTGCAGCAACCTGGATGGAACTAGAGTCTATAATACTGAGTGATCTCTCACAGAAACAAAGATCCGAGTATCACATGTTCTCACTCATATAGTGGACCTTGAACATCCAGTGTAATACTATAGGAAAATGACTGACAGTGGTTGGAAACTATGGGGGGGAGGGGACGGGAGATGGAATTAACGGTAGTAAATATCTGTCTGGGGATGAGGAGACACCTCTTATCAACAAGGGTGCCTGAATGAAGCATATTTGTATACCTAACACTTAACTGTACCCCACAATATCATTGTAAAAAATTGATTGAAAATTGTAATATGTAAAACAAAGACCATGTAGTAAAGTATATTTTGGAGAACACCAAACTCCAGGAGATATAAATCTGTGCTCTAACCACTGAAGTCTCCATGGTCAAATAAATGTGGGAAAAGTTAAAATAAATAAAAACATTATACAATGAAAAAAAAAACACTGACACATAATAATCAGGTAATAAATATGTTAGCAGTGTGGCTAAACTGATAAATACAAAATAAAATGACCTGAAGAACATCTCCTGGGTTGATAAAACCAAGCATCAAGAATGATACAAAAACAAGAAATAAATGCGAGGACCTATAACATAAAAGTTCAGAATCATTGTATAGTTGTATTACCATGCCTGAAGAGCTCATGCTCAAGAGAGGTTTTCTTCTCATCCTTGTACTTTTGCCATAGAAATTCCATTCGGGGACACTCACATATACTTAGGCTGTTAGCAAGAATAACGGCTTCTTTCCTGAGAGGCAGCTGCAAAGAACATTTTTGCAAAATTGACAATACTTAAACTTCAAAACAGATCATTTATTATTTATGCGTCTGAGCAAAGAAATCTGCAGGCCAGATTCACTAAAAAGAAGTAGGTAACCTCCAGGTGCAACTTCATTCTGCAAAGTTATTTATATATCTTAAATTCACATGCAAATAGGTTTATAAAAGGTAATATAAAATAAAATTTATTCCTTGGAAAGCAGTCAAAGTCAAGACTGACAACACTGTGCAGTGCAGAAGCAACAGCTTTCAATGAGTACTCCACTCATAATCTTGCTAACTTCAAAAACAAAGTCTTCTTGTAGTGAGATATTATATCAGTGAAGGTTCTTATTTGTATCATGACTTTTAGGTCTAATAATCTAGTTTTCTACATACAAAACATTTTTTATTGTGTTAATATATAGAAATGTTAATTTGCATTGTGACTAGATTTATCTTCTTAAAACTGTTCCATCAGTAACATTTACATTACTTAATGTGGAAGCAGCTCTTAAAAAACAAACAAAAATCTCATTTTTAGTATTAAGAAAACTAGAGCTAAGAGACCTTATATGATCTGTCCAAGGATAGAACTAGCAACTGGAAAAGTCATCATTTGAACTGGGGTCTACTTGTTCTTGTCACAATCTCGGAGGTTTGCAATTATTACTAGTTTAATATTAATAGTCACATTATTTAGAATTATATCTTTTCTGTAAATGTTGAATTATCTGTATTTTTTAAAATCTATAGTCCAAAGAAATTCTTTAAAAATAAATATATTCAGACTTCCACATCAATGGTTCTCATATTCACAGATTCAATCAACCACGAAATTAAAACATTTGGGAAAAAAATATAATACAAAATAATACAAACAATAAAGAATACAGTATAAAAACTATTTACATAGCATTTACATTGTATTGTAGTCTAGAGATGATTTACATAGCATTTACATAGTATTGTAGTCTAGAGATGATTTAGAGTATACAGAAGGATGTGTGTAGGTTATATGCACATACTACACAGTTTTACATAAGGGACTTTAGCATCCACAGATTCTGGTATCTGTGGGAGAACTAATCACTCACAGGTACTAAGGGACAACTGTATTCCATTGGGGCTCATATAATCTCAAATTTCATATCCCAGTAAGTAACCTTCTCAGATCTTCAACTAACATCACTAAATATCCATGAGATATAATCCATATGCATGGCATTGTGAAGTGATAGCATAGTCTTGGTCCTCAATTAAGTGAGGCAAAGATAGAAACTGTACACAATAATTAAAAAAAAAGTATTACAAGATGAGTCAAATGAAATATCCCTTTTAATTGAGGTGAATAGGAAAAAGTTTGTAGAGGTAATGGGATCATGGCTAGGAAGATTGGACATGATTCAAATCAGAAATTTAAAAGAAAATTATTTTTAAGAGGAGGGAAACATATGAAGGTATAGAAGAAATAGGTGTGATTGCCATTCACCCATCTAGCCATCCATTCCTATGCCAGATTTCCACTAAGAATCTACTCTTTAAACAAAGTTCCTGCCCTGAAGAATTAGTAGAAAATGCATACAAATGATTACATTTCAATGTAACAAATGTGCTACAATAAAAATTCTCAATAGATCCTATGTAATCAACTAAAACTTAACCAATTTGCAGGATTAACCAGGATCTTCCATTCAATCTATAACCCAGAGTATAGTGACAGTTCAAGGATTAGATAGTACTTTTAAAAACACAATATAGAGTACCATATGTTCTCAGATTGAATCTGTGAATCTGAGAACCATTGATGTGGAAGTCTCATAAGCAGACCTTGAACAATTATCATAATACTATAAGACAGGGATTGGCAGTTGAGGGAAACTGCCAGGGGAGGGAGGGCACACCTCATCAACAAGGGCAACTGTATAATGAACATTTGTATACCTAACCCTGAATTGTACCCCACATCTTTAAAATTAAAAATTAAAAAAACACAAATCTTTTTACTTCATCCAGTTGTGTTGTATGCTTACCAAGAATCAGTTAATTTTGTACCCAAACTTGTTTATACCAGTTGTACTTGTTACTGAAATTATGCATACTCTACAAAGCAAGGAAATTGAAGGAGAGTTGTTTCTTTGAAACTAAGTGGAACACTGGTTAAAATTTAATAGAGACTGATTGTGAAAAACTTTTGCCAAAGCATGTGTAGGCAAGACAAATGTGAAAATTTGGGATGGCAGGTGGCAATCGACAAACTAGACAGATTCTTTGCACTCAGGTTGCTTTGCAAGAATCTTTAAGTGTGTAAGGAAATCAAAACTAATAAGAAACATGGTTGTGACTGATACAAGAAAGACTACTCACAATTCCAGTTTCACAGTCAAAGGCTTTGTCCCTACATAGAAGATTGACATATGAATGCTCATTTATGTTTTCAGTTATGTTGAAGGTTTTGTTAAGTAAATAACTTGTTTAAGGTTTAATTGACTTTTTTGGTTAACCTGCAAACTACGTAAGAGGGCTCCTGCTGTTGGAGAATTCAGGAAAGGTTTTGCGGAAGAAGCACTTGAGCTGAGACTGGAAGGATAAACAAGTTTGCCATAGGAAAAAAGTAGAAGTCAGCCTTTCATCAAAGGGAGACATGGAATTGAGTTGTGCTCGGGAGAATCAAAAGTACACTACATCCTTCATTTAGGACATTTAGCATTATTTAGTAACAGGGAGTTAGCTTCAGCTAGATTGTGAGGGTTGTGAGAGGCCTTAAATGACAGACAGAAGAAGGCAGGTTTTCCATTATAAGTAATGGGAAGCTACTGAAGGTTTCTTATCATGAGCACAATGCAATGTTCACTATAGCCATAATTTTTTTTTAAAAATTAACTTGTACTGTGAAAAAAGGAAGAACCAAAGGGCATGACCAAGGGCAGGGTTGCCTGTTAGAAAACTAATGGTTAAGTTTACAAGGAATGTGCTAAGGGTTTAGAGTGGTGGCAGGCAATGGGAGTAGGGAGGAAAAGAAAGAGTACAATTGACATGGTAAAGGAAGAACCACTAGAAATGGTAAATGATTAGATGTGGGGATAATAAAAAGGAGGAACTGCACATAACTCCGAGGCTTGGAGTCTGGGTCAGTGAAGGAAATGAGAGTACTTTAGTAGAAATCGGGAAAGAAAAGCAGGAAAGAGTTGCTAATGGAAAAAAGATTAAAGACTGATTTCAGACATGCTGTATTAGAAGATAAGGAAGGTTAAACCATGCAGGAATGGCAGGTATGTTGTCAGAGCAGAGGTCAGGAGACAGGCTAGCCCATGATGTACAGTCTGAAGAAAGTGAAAACGAGTAAGAGATAATCTTATAGCTAATGGCCAAGTCCTTGGTTGTCAAAGAGACTATTTGGTAGGACTTAAACTCAAGGTACGTGAGCAGATTTAGTTAAGAATCCATACTCTCCCATCCTTACTACAGACCATCTTACCCTGAAGTGACAGAAAGAAGTTCTTCCTCTTCATTCTAAGTGTGAACTTAACCTCAGATATTTTTACTGGTTCAATGGTTTTTTCTTTCCACACATCCTGTCCTCAATCTTACAAAGAAACTGCCAACCTAAGCCAAACTGGTCTTCTAAACTACTTATACAGCTGTCTTTTAAATCTTTTCTTCTTCCTCAACTCAAGGTCAAAAGTTTTCCATTCTTCTGGGAAGCTCTGGACTTCCTGACCACTCCAAGGATCACCAAACTGGTCTGATGGTTCTTCTGGTTCTGTGGTCTCGTTTTCCTTTACTTCCTGAGGCTCTCTAGCAAGTTTAGTCTGACATCTCACTTTCTCCATTTCTGAGTCTCCTCTTCTCACTGCAGCCACAGGGCCTGATCCTGGGTTAGCAGAGAACCGCACTTCCTTAGCCCTGGTGGGATCTGGGATAGTCAGGAGGCCCCCGAGTGTGGAAGTGCCTTTGTTCCTCTTTAGAGCCCATCTCTTAAACAATGCAGAACAAAAATATTTACCTTTACTCATTGCGTACACATCATAGCATAGAAATCTAGCTCATCACATCTTTTACACCCTACACAAAGATGCCTCCCTCATTTCCAGAATCTTAACAATTTCAATAATTGATAGCATGTGAAGAAAGAAGGGTAGCTCAGTAAACTTTAATCTTTTGGTATTCTCATGTTTAGGGACAAGATGAAGAACAAATTCGAAAAATAGGAGGCTAACCACAGCATAGCATCATGGATGACAAGGGAAGAGTTTCAAAAAAAGAGAGAGCAATCAATAATATCAAATGCTTTAGACAATAATGGTAAAATATGAAAAACGGTCTATTTGCCAGGCACTGGTCCAAGAACTCTTTGATAAATCTTAATAATATATTTTATTTCATCTATCATGTCAACATATACTCAATATAAAAATTATAGTCTTTTTTCCAAACTAAATCTTATATTTTAAACTTTCAGCACTCTCCATTTGGACTAGCCACTTTTCAAATGCTCAACAGTCACATGTGGGTGATAACTACCCTTTTGGACAGAGCAGCACAGAGAGTTGATGGGAGAATTAAAGGAAACAGTTTGTTTCTTTTAGGAGATACAGGAAATAAAGCACTTGGCACAGCGTCTGGAGGTAGAAAACACAGGAATTGATTAGTCCTACCCTTCCCCAACCCTCATTGCTCAAAATGGCTCTCTGGACTGAATGTGAGTACTTCACTCTGCCTTCTGAAATCCCCATTCTTCACCTCCTTCTTCCTTCTTAAGGAAGTACATCAAGGGCACTCTCACCTCCACTATCCTGTCAGAGCCAACCTCTATGGCCTGAGCTGCTGCAGTAGCTCCCCACATAGTGCCCCCCTCATCTGCTAATACTTCCTGCAATCCATTCTCTATTGAGTGGTTAGAATGCTTCTTTGATTATTTTTTTACTATGGTAAAATATACATAAGGTAGAATTTACCATTTTAACTATTTTTAAAAATTTATTTATTTTTTATATTTTAAAGATGTGGGGTACAATTCAGGGTTGGGTACATAAGTGATTATCATACTATTTAACTATTTTTAAGCACACAATTCAGTGGCATTAGGTACATTCACACTGTTGTACAATCATCACCACCATTTTCAGAACTTTTTCATTATTTCAAACGTCAGTACCATGAAATAACTCCCCATCCCCTCATTCCTCCAGCCCCTAGTAACCTGAATTCTACCTCCTGGCTCTCAAATGACCTGTTCTAGGTACTTCATCTACATGGAATCATACAACATGTTTCCATTTGTGTCTGGCTTATTTCACTAGCATACTGTTTCCAAGGCCATGTTGTAGAGTGTTTAAGATTCTTTATGGCTGAATAATATTTCATTGTACATATATTCCATATTTTGTTTATCTATTAATCTGTTGATGCACATTTGCAGTGTTCCTAGTTTTTTGGCTATTTTAATAATGATGCTGTGAATATTGGTGTACAAATATCCAAAAACTGTTTTTTGCAGTCTCCTACTGAACTCGAATAACAACTCTGCAAAATAGATACTGTTATTAACTTCATTTTACAGAAAGAAAAAAAAACAAGCACAGAGAGGTGAAGTCACATAGCTGGTGAGCAGTGAAGTCAGGATTCAAATGCAGCAATATTACCATTTTAAGTATTCCATGATGTGAAAAGGCCTGGGAAGCACTGCTCTCCACCAGTGTACTCCAGCTGTCTTGTCAAGGGGTTGGAAGGCTGGCTGGATATTTGGAGCTCAGTGATAAGGCAGTAGCAACAGCAAGGTGGGGAAAGTGAAGTCAGGGATAAAGAAATTGTGGCAGTAAAGGAAGAAAGAAAACAGAGTGATAGCTAGAAAGTACAACAGTGTGTGAATGAATTTTTTTCAAGATGGAAAATGTGATAGATAATTGAAAATCATCAACAAAAGAATCACAAAAAAATAAGATGCCTAGAAGGATTTAGTAGAGTCAGGCAGAAGTAATTAATGGACATACTCTGGCACAACCCAAAGTGGAAAGATGCCATACTTTCTATGATAACACTAAGATTTTTGTGAAACAGCAGAAGTTTGCAATAAATATGGCTAAAAGAATTGAGAATCCCACTTAATCAGTAGAGCACTTCGCTCATTAGGAATAAAGCATTATTCTAAGTGACATTTTATGATACCTTGCTTGTTTCACTCTCTTTGAATCCTTTCTCAAGTATTTGTAGCAGATGCTTTTTCTTCACTGTAGCTGCAGGATCAAAAACATAAAAAAGGCATTCCAGCCTCTTTCGATAGCTCCTTAAGAATAATTAAAACAGAAAAAGTTTGAGAGTTGATTTCACAAAAGCTTAGCCACAATATCATAATAAAAAATATTGATTTTAAAAAAATAAATAAATAAAAAATAAAATAAAGTCAAACTTTTGTCAAATTATTCCTTAGAGAATTCTTCTTACTCTGAATCATGCATATCTTCATTGTCCAAAAACTTCTGAAATTTCTCCTCAAATTTTAGTCTCAGAATACGGTTGTTAACTTTAATGATACGTTTTACTTTTATTCCTGTAATACCATATGTTCTGAAGTCCCAAGTACAAAAACGTGACAGAATTAATTCATAGCAGGAATTAAACCTGTATGGAAATACAGAATACACATAAAGAAAATAACAGATTTTCCTTAAAATGTTCAAGAACACAAAGTTACATATGATAAAAGTTATAGCTCATATATATTTTTTTTTTGCTAAAGATACACACAGTAATCATATAGTACTTCTGTTTGGGTTCACATGGGGCATATTTATTCAATCAATAGAAGACATGCTAAATTCTGAAATAAGTTAAAAAAAATAGTACTATTATCAGTTATTTATTATAATCTGTTCTTCCTAAATATATGTTGGCTAAGTAATCCTTCCTTTCTAAAACAGTGTATTTTTTGGCTTCAGCAAAACTACATATTCCTGGACTTCCTCTAATAGGTTGCACCTTCAGTTTTCTTTGCTAGTTCTTCTCTGATAGTTTCTAAATTCTGGGCTGTCCCAGAAATCAGCCTTTGCCTTTCCCCTTGTTTTCACAAATACTCTACCTGGATGATTCTGGTTCCTTGACTGTGTGTATGTATATATGTATGTATATATGTATGTATATATGTATGTATATATGTATACACACACACACACATATATATATACATGCTGATAAATTATAACATTTTCTTTTTTTCTTTCTTTCTTTTTTTCTTTTTGCTAGAAGCTCCCTCCATCACCCAAGTTGGAGTGCTGTGGCACGTTCACGGCCACCCCAGCGTTGACCTGCTGGGCTCTGGTGATCCTTCCACTTCAGCCTTCCAAGTAGCCGGAACTACAGGTGCGTGCTACGATGCCTGGATAATTTTTTTTTTATTTACTGTAGAGACGAGGTCTTGCAAAGTTGTCCGGGCTGAAAAAACTTAACTAATATGCCTCCAGCACTAGTTTCCGGGCTGAAGCTAGTGGGCTCAGGCAATCCACTCATCTCGGCCTCCCAGAGTGCTGGGATTACAGGCTGAGCCACCGAGCCCTGCCAACATTTTATTTCTAACTTTGATCTCTAGCCAACTTAGCTGGTTATACCCAGACTTGAATATCCAACTACCTACTTGATATATCCATTTGCATATTAAACAGGCATCTCAAACCTAGCTTATCTAGAACTTGCCCCAAACTTGCTCCTCCTGAGTGTTTTCCATCTCTTATACACTGCCATGTAACTGGGAGCCTAAATTAAAACTAAAGGAATAGTTCTTTACTCTCTTCCTCACAAGTGTCTAATTTTTTAATTAGTCTGTTCAACTCTGCATCTAAAATGCACTCTGAATATGACTACACTTCCTCACCACCACCATTACCATCCTAATCCAAATCACCATGACCTCTCAGTTGAACTATTGCAATAACTTCTTAACCAGGAATATAGGGGTGAAAAGAGACAGTGCCTCTGCTCTCATGAAGTCTATATTCTAAGGAGGGTAGAGAGAAAATAAACAAATAAAGCCATAAGCAAAAAAAATCTGAAGCAATAAGAGATTGAAGAAAGAAGGGACCTACTTAAGACAGGGTCTTGGGGAAGACCTTTGAGAGAAGGTATTTGACCTAAGAACTGGAGGATGAAGAGAAGTCAGCTATGTGAAGATAAGAACACTGAAGTGCTTGTTTGTTCTCTGTTGCTTTCATCTGGCCATACTTCTAAAATTTTAGTCCTGTCTAAATGTAGTACAGAATCTAGATTAAGATGAGATTAAAAGATGGATTATTTTGAGAAGGAACTAAGCAACACTATATGAAGTACACATGTCTTTAATGACATGTCTAGGTTCACACCTACATAATCAACCAGGGCCTGAACATAGGTGAGCTAGGATCAGAGGTGAGCTTCCTGATGGATGGTCTCTCCCTGAGCCTAATATCCGAATTCCTAACTTAGAGTATCTACTTTTCTCACTTAGTTAGTAAAGCCAGTAGCTTACCAATTACTTCTCCCTTAGAGTTGAAAAGAGAATTGCCCAAATCAAACTAATCCCAGAAGCTCACAATCTGAAGAGAAGACAGATACGAACAGTGTTGCAATCCAGCGTGATGCCTGCTAACCACTTAGAATTCTACAAAACTGCCACATTATCATCTAGGGTGGGAAACCTACTGCTCCTTTTATAGGAGGATCATTTTCTAGGCCAGATTTGCCAAATAATATGTCTTGGAAGCACCGAAGTTCTCATTATTACACTTTCTGCACTCTGGTAGAAACTAGTGATGGAGACATATTAGTTAAGTTTTTTTGTTATATAGTAAACATCTTGGTAAGGCTTGAGGGTTCTCAAGAATTGATGGAAAGGATACATAGACAATATCTAGCTTCTTGTCTGGTCCCTCAGAAATGCAGGGAACCAGGAATAGGCACAGGAAACTCCATGAAGTGTAATCCTTTCATAAAGCTTTTGTTTTGTTTAGTTTTGCTTTTTGTTCAGAATTCAGCAGCTAAGCAATGATGGAATGAGAGGGGATGCAAAGGCATTCTGGGTACAGGAAGCAGAAGAAACAAAACAACTTATGTGGTGGGTACCACTTCTGCTCCAAGAGCAGTGAAGCACACAGTTTAGCTGACTCTAAAAAAATTGGAAAAGGAGTTAGGATAGTTTAGAGACCACACAGTGGAAAACATTGAACCTTACACTGTAGGTGAAGAGTCTAAATGTAATTTGGAAGGTAAATAGCTACAAAGTCATTTGTTTTGTTCTTAACAGGGTATTTTCTGTATGGGAAACATGTCAGCAGGGATCATATGAGAGACCACTTGGGAATTTTTACTGATTGATTAACAAATACTGAGTACCTGCTACATACAGGCACTGTATTAGGTGCTATAGCAATAGTCTAGGTGGGAAGTTATGAAGACCTGTGTAGGTGATTTTGGTCACAATGAACAGGGAGAATGAATCCAAGTAACATTATGGAAGAGAAACTGTGGGGCTTGGCACCTGATTGGGTGTGGACATTTAAGAAAAGAAGGAAGTAAAGAATGACATCAATGTTTGTTGAGCCTTTCTGTACTGAGAAGATACCAAAATCAAAACATATCAAAAACATAAAAATTGATAAAATATGTTCACATTATCTTCTCTAATCCTACAGTAACCTTTTGTGGTAGATTATTTTTTCTCATTCTACAGATGAAGTTTAGCTGTATTAAATAGTTGTTTCAAGATCACACAGAGTTTGAACATAGGTCTTCTGTTTCTTAATACCTTTATGGAGTCTATTATGTCACAGTTGGCTCCCTTTGGAATGAGTTGAGTTTGCTGTGCCAGTTGGAAATCCAGATAGAAATGTTTAACAAACAGGAATTCAGGGCTGGAGTCTAAAATAGAGGTTGTAGCTGTAAGTAATTTCTGAAAGTACAGGAGAAGAGACTGGCAAGGATAGATGTAAAAAGGAAATAGAAAATGTCCAAGTACAAAAACAAGAGAGATTGAGTTACAAGAAATAGCTAACAGTGTCAAATACTTTAGTAGTTAGGAGAATGAGGGCCCCCTCATTTTACTGGGTATTTTATTCATTCAGTGAGACCTGAATATAGAAGCATCCACAATGATACACATTATTGACTAAGATAATCAGTTCCACAGAAAGATGTTACAAACTTCCATTAATATACAAATGATGTGTTCATTTAGCAAATATAAACTGCACATGGTTTAAATGACTGGAACTTAAACTAACCTATTAAAATGCACTTCATAATCCTAGGCAAGGGTTTAACAAATTCTGTTAAGGACATGGTGACTTAAACCAGCATCTTATCAGTTTTGCCCTATAAATCAAAAAGTTTCTGCTCATGTAGCTCCTTGAAGTATAGCATGAAATCTTTATATTATACTAAGAATTAAATAAATTACTGAGAGTCATTATATTCACCAAAATAACACTGTTAAGTGGGTGTCTATAAACTGACATGGAAGCTTCAATTAGTGTTTATCTAATGGCTACGAATCTAGTCTGTGCTAGATGATATGACTTACAAGGCACATGAATCATTATATCTTCCCTAAAGGAACTTATATATTGCTTTGTGGTGTTTTAAAGTTATTTTTAAAATTATAAGTACATTTTATCTATAACCAGGTTGAAAGTGTCTCAAAGACAGCATCTTTGATGCTTTAGAGTCCCCATTTGATAAACACTGTCTGATGTCAATGGTAACTCAACTGACAATACATTGGTAAATATGACTATTAAAATAGAGCTATAGTGGCAACAGTCCACTCAACTAGCATAACTAAGATTTAAAAAACTGAAAATTTTAATTTTATTTAATAGAAGAAATGAAGCTAAGAAATACTGAATGATATACAATTAGAAATATGCAGTACTTTTTTAACATTAAATAAACAAGGTTATTTTTAACAGAAAATGGTCCTTTAAATTCTGCCAACATATATTTGATTTTCTCCTTAAAATAAATCAAGGTTATTTTTATTTAAACCAAGACAAAAATTGTTCTTTCTTTCTTTCTTTCTTTCTTTTTTATTATGATGTTGTGGGGTACAGTTAAGGATTAGGTATACAATTACGTTTCATTCAGGCACCCTGTTGATATGAGGTGTTTCCCCGTTCCCAGACAGATATTTGCTACTATTAATCCCATCTCCCTCCCCCCCCCCGTTAATTCTTATTAAAATCCATCAAAGCTATCTAGTTTACTGTCAGGCTAATGTAGTTATCTAAATGGGTTTTTAGTCATTTTGCTTTCATATTTTTTCCTACTAATCACCTTACTTTGTAAAGAGCTTTGTGACAAGTTAAAAAAAAAAACAGGAATAATACAATCAATTCTGTTTGGGTTAAGGGACTATAAATAAAGAAGAGCTCGCATACTTTTGCTATTCTAGACTCTTGAGAAGATTTTCCTCTCAGAGATCAGTAAAAAGTCATGTCTAATAGAAACCAGAGGGCTTGGTTTGAAGTAATCCACAACAATCACACTTTTCCCCTAAAAAAGTTAGTGTGAATTTTGCATTCCACTCCTTAAAAATTAGTACTTGACATTAACTTTGAGTAAAATAATGCTGCAGAGTGATGTGCCGCGTCCATTCCATAGTTTCACATGCTTCCTGATATATTTCCATATACCCAAGTTCCCATTACGGTTCTAGGGCAATCTTTGGCTGTTTCACATGCTCCTCAATTTTTTAAAAAAATTACTCCAAAAATGGGAAAGTCATACTTAATAATTTTCTTCAAGGCTTTCTTCTTTTTTTAAAGGATCATTTCTAATTGTGCTCTCTAGTTGAAGTAACACAACCATTTCCTTGTTTCTACTGGCAGGCTTGGTTCTAAATCATGGATGCCTGCTTTCTACTTCTGTTTCTGGTGTGTGTCTCCATTTTTGTCTATATGGGCTTTTGACCTGAATCCCTGGTTTAAGCATATAGTTTGTCCTAACATGTGGTGTCCATGTGGACCCTGACTGTAGTTAGCTCTAAAAACCAGTTTCACTTTAACCACAGACCTACAGGAGATTTGCTTGACTGCTTCCTCTCATGTTGGGAACCTGCTGTCACCAATCCTGCTTTGGGATTCCTGCTATGTTCTAGCTTCTCAGCCAATATTCAGAATTCAGGGCTATCTCCAGTCCAGAAACAAATAGTATAAATTAATACATGATTATAACTATTTTTTTCCTAAATTATATTCCATACTTGGGCTAAGGAAAATTGGGGAAAGAACAATGATATACCATTAGGATATCTTCAAAGTTGGTTCATGGCAATGGTGTAAACAGAGAAACGTAAAGTGGTAAAGTAGATAACTGCCAATGTTTAATAGATGATACCAATATCAGTAGATATCAATATTCTGTGGAGAAATGTTTTAAAAATTGGACATTTTAAGGTTTTTAAAATTGATATTCTGGTTGATGATCCTAAGTATTTAAATTGTTTTTAAAGATATACTTAAATTTTGAACAAATTTACCAGTCATCAGATCGAGTGCCTGCTTCAAAATGGATATTTCCCACAGTCTCCAACTCAGTTAACAAAAATGGGATCAATAAGCCGTAACTTTTCTTCTTTTGCTTTACTTCAATATGATAACTTGCTTCAATTCTATTGAAGAGAAAAATTATATAATCAGAATAATCTAAAACCACAGCATTAAAATTCATGATAGTTTTTTTCTTTTAACTTGATGTTAAAATACAAGACTTCTTTTTCAATGGATAAAGAAAGCTTGGTGTTAACAGTTAAACCAAGTAAAAGACATTCTACTTTTGGCAATTAAAATCACTTTGAATCTTGTTAATCTCAGAATATGTGAAGGTTAGAAGACTATCCTAACTCCTCCATCATTTATGGCTTTCAGATTCTAGACAGGTCACTTAACCTTTTTATGCCTCAGTTTTCTCATAAAAATGGCAACACTGATAGTCCCTATTCCTAAAAAGGCTGTTTTGAGGATTATTTGCAAAATACATGTAATGCTCTTAGCATAGAGTCTGGCACAGAGCAAAACCTCAATAAATGTTACTATTATTGTTGTTAGTATTATTACAGGACAAACTAACTTATCCATTTAGTGACTCAGTAAATTTTTAAAAAATCATAGTCCTTGCTAAGCCTTCTTGCTTTATATTTCTAGTTGATAATTGAAACTGAACTTGTTTCAGCATGATTCTAGACAATTGTGTATGCACTTTGCTGGGTCTCACCTATTTGGTGAATTTATGCAACAATAGAAGCTCTATCGCTTTTAGTGACACTCAGAGGAAGCTCACTGTACTTAAGTAAGAACTGCCTCTGCAAAACACCCTATATACCAGCTTTGAACCTTATGTACTAGGACCTGGAAGTAGGAACACTTTTTGTGTTCTACTTCATACTATAATTCTTTCCACTCTTGAAGAAGGGTACCAAGCTCAACTGATGGCTCAAAATATTCTTATTCTCTCATGTTTCAAAACTGGACAGCTAGACAATTCATTAAACATACTCATCTAGTTTTTTGTTCCAGAATGTTACCCTTTCATTCAAGGCATTTAATTTGGTCAATATCTTCTGTTGAAAACTTGATTCTTCTGTAACAGTTTCACAATTCTTTGATTTTTCAAACTCAGTTACTTTATTATTGGATCTACCATTGTGCCCTTTATCAGATCCCTTGAGTTCAGCCAGTTCCCGTTCCAACTGTGGAAAACAATATGCCAGGGAGAAAATAAAAATAAAATATGATAAAGTCAAAGTTTGAATTCAGATATAATTTTTAGTGGGTTCTATTAAATGAATATATAACTTAAACTAATAAAAAGAAAAACTTGGTAATAAATAGGGTAACTTCACAAAAGCATGTCAAACAGTGACTTCAACTTTGATGCAAGTTCATTCAGTAAGTCAGTTTTTCTTGACCAAATGAGGGCCTTAAATACTTCAAACATGACAATCTCTCAAGTGAAAATAAACAAAGAAACCAATTTTCAAGTATTATTGGAGTGTGCTTCTATTAAAGCCAAAGTAAAATTAAAATAAATGCTGGTTTTGGCATAAATACTTAAAATTCAAATAATGCTGTAATTTTTAATACACTTTTCAATTTTTAGTATTTTTTTCCTACTATTTTGGTATTCTGGAACAAAATCAACCACAAAAAATACACAAAAGCATGTATATGGGGTGCACATTTTCCCTTTTGTCTCAATCTCTTACAAGGCTCAGCACAACCCTGGTCTGTTTTTAAGATTTTGATATTTTGTGAAGTTTTTGTTCATAATGAGTTTCCCATTACTTTGGGAATTTAAAAATATTGCATTAAATATTATTTATTATCTTGATTACTGAGGTTATGGGCACACCTTTAAATTGTGGTCCAAGGGCAAATGCCTCACTGGCCTCCACTCAAATCTCAGCCTTATAGGCTTTCAGGATAAATTGTACTATATAAGATGAAGTGTATACAAATAGAAATTTACTAATTAACTGCACTCTTCAATAATAGATACATCCAGGTGTTAAGAAACAAATTAAGCATATTTATAAAAATGTCTATAGTTGTATTATCTATAGCCATTGTTTTACATTTGCATATTTTGCTTAATACCTGAATTTGCACACGAAAATGGCAGATATAAAATGATTCCTATATACTGATTTCCTCTGACTTTTACTGAATTAAATAATGTATATTTTATCAGCGCTTTACTTTAAGAATATCTTTCATATAATAATAATTAAGGCCCATTCATTTTAGAAAAAGCATTGAATATTTTTCAAAGTCTTGGTTTTTAATTGCTATATGCTAGTCTACCTTAAGAATGAACAACTCTTCTTGTTAAACATTTAGGTAGATGCCAATTTTCGTTGTTATTAATAGTGCAGTTATTATTTTTTTTTTTTTTGAGTTGGAGTTTCACTCTGTCGCCCAGACTGGAGTGCAGTGGCCACTCCCGGCCACCGCAACCTCGACCTGCTGGGCTCCAGCGATCTTTCGCCCCTCAGCCTTCCGAGTAGCCGGAATTACAGGTATGCGCTACCACGCCCGGCTGATTTTTTGATTTATTGTAGAGATGAGGTCTCGCTGCCCAGGCGGGTCTCGAACCCGCGAGCTCAGGCAATCCACTCACCTCAGCCTCCCAAAGGCGTGGGATTACAGGCTGAGCCACCGAGCCCGGCTAATAGTGCAGTTATTAATAGACATATATAAATATTGACAATAGAATGCTCAAAATAGAATTACTTTGTCAAAGGCTATGAGCATTTTTAGGCTGTTAATAAATATGACTGATGTTACACTCCCATCAGTAGTATATAGTGTGTCACATCCATCTTGACCAACCTGAGTACTGTCATGTGTCATGTTTTGACAGTTTTATAGGTGAAAATAGTTTCTTGTTATCTTAACTAATATTTGGAAATTAATAATCAAGTTAAGCTTTTCTTTAAAATGTTATTAATCATTTTTATTTCTACTTTTATAAAATTCTAGTTTAAATACTTTGCTCAATTTTTCTACTTGCATATTTACCTTTTACCTTGTTTTACTTATATGTATTTTTATACTAAGGATATTGCTCCTTTGTCATGTTTGTTGGAGAACATTTTTTCAGATTGTGATTTATTGTCTACTTTCATTAATGATACTTTTTAGTATAACAACATTTTATTTTTTTTGTAATGAAATCTACATTTTGTACCTTTGTGATTTCTAGTATTCCATTCACTTATCAGGCTGAGGTCAGTTAAGTAAATCCAACTATATATTTATTCTTCCATTTTTTCATGTTTCATTTTTATATTTAATTTTTTTTCTCCTATTGATATTTACATTTGGTAAAGTGTAAACTAAAGATCCAACTCCCGTACTCCCAAAGTTGTTTGACTATTTTCTAATTTCATTTGCTGAATAATTCATTATTTCTTCATAATTTAAAAAATATATGTTTTATATATATATAAGGTTCTGCCTTAAGGTAAATAATCCTTATTTTTTTCAAAATCTACTTTTAATAAAGGAAATCCAGTTATTCTAAATAAAAGTGCACATATACTATTATAGTTTGATTTAAAGTTCCCACTTGGTTGTATGTCTTAATAGTATTAGTTAAAGTTTATTTTAGTACTTTAAACAAGAAAATGAATTTTGAGCACAGCCTACTGGTGTCTAATAAAAATGCAGCTGAAATAGTCTGACAGATTTCTGTAACTATCTGAAGCATATTGAATTACACAGCTTCTTAAAAATCTCATGACTAGAAAAGCCTTTATCTTTTTTGAATTATAGATTGTACATACAAAATGCAGCTTAGTTAAGCACCTGGAATCAAAACATGTTAAAATTCAGTATTAATTGTGTGCGTGTATGTGTGTGTGTGTGTGTGTGTGTATTCACACACACATACATACTAGGGGTGCCAAAAAAAAATGTATACACATTTTTAGATATCTATGTATCACTTTTAGTTTGCTATAATCAGAGGTGTCTGAAAGTAACCACTTTGAGCACATCTTGTAATTGCAGAAGTCAAACATGACTTGTATTCATCTTTTATTATTGGCATATATTGAGTATTACAATTTTAATAGTTTTTTCCTCTCTTAAAATATGTATACATGTGTGGCTCTGTGTGTGTGTGTGTGTGTGTGTGTGTGTATTCTGGCAGTATTCTTTAGATGTGGCCACTGGAATTTTACATTATTAAATCTTACATTTTTTTTCACAAAGCTTAATAATTTTATTTGTTCTTCTGGCAACTTCTGTAATTTGCATTTTCGGTCATTCAGTTTTTCAAGGTCCTCATTAAGATGCCTCTGAACAGTTTTTATACGCATATTGTAATACATTATTTTTTTCATTGCTGTGGTCTAAGAGCAAGAAAGAAAACAAGCTATTAGTTAAAACCAATTATAAGTAATTAGTAGTAGTATTATATAAGTATGGTATGTTCTATATAACAATTTAAAGGCTTTGCACACTCAGTTACTAATAATGATGACAACTAAAGTAACAATGGCTACACAGAATTCTACATTTAAACCAGAGAAAATATATAATTCCAAAGATTCTTTGTGAATAATATTTAAGTATAAAGTGTATTCACATTTATTTCCAGGAATGTAACATAAAGACAGTACAAGAACTATTTGAGGAGAACATCAACAAATTAGGTGTGCTATAAAAGTGTGACCTGGTTTTAACTGTTTACCTGAAACAATAAAGGCATTTCTTTTTATCAAGACACCCATATCTCAGATAAGTTGGAAGACTTGTACAGTTTTAGACATATATTTTCTACAGCTGCAATCTCTTTTTATGCAATTTATACCGTGCAAACAATCAAGATCACAACAGAATTATTTGGCATAAAAGACAAAATAAAAACAAATACATGGTGTGATAAACAGGCCAAAAGAATGATCTTTCCCCATGCATATTATTCCTCTGCCAAAAATAAGGCATTCATAGCAAAAGAACAGTTAAGAAAAAAATTGTTTTAGCATGATGATAAACTGATTAAAGACCTCTGATAAAGAAGAGTTTAATTTCTGAGGTGCAACTGAGTTAGAAGAAAAAACTGTAACTTAACAAATGGCAAATGATGTTTCTTAATTTTTTGCCTATTTGAAGACAATGTAAAAATCTTAACAAAATTTTAAGTGACAGCTAAAAAAAATTATTCTAAATTCTTAAATCTAAAACAAGAAGATAGTCACACACAGAATGAAACTAGACCCTGATCTCTCACCACATGCAAAAATGAACACAAAATGGATTGAATACTTAAACCTAAGACCTGAAACTGTAAAACTACTAAAAGGAGACTGAGGGAAAATACTTCAGGACATTGGTCTAGACAAAAATTTTATAAGTACAGGCAACAAAAACAAAAATTGACAAAGGGTATTACATTAAACTGAAAGCTTCTGAAAGGCAAAGGAAGCAATAAACAGAGTAAAGAGACAACTTGTAGAATAGAAAAAAATAATTGCAAACTATTCATCTGATAAGGGACTCATATCCAGAATATACAAGTAAAAAAGTAAATAATCCAACTAAAAAGTGGGCAGGCAACTGAATAGACAGTTCTCAAACAATGACATGAAAATGGCCAACAGGTGCATGAAAAAATGCTCAACATAACTAATCCCCAGGGAAATGCAAATCAAACCACAACGAGATATCACTTCATCCCAGTTAGAATGGCTACTGTCAAAAAGACAGAAACAAAAACAAAAAGATGCTAGTGAGAAAATAGAGAAAAGGGAACTCACAACATTGTTGGTGGGAATGTAAACTATACAGCCATTATGAAAAACAGCACAAGGTTTATAAAATTCCACAGAGTTGAACATGATCTAGCCCCTACCACTCCTGTTTTTCTCTCTTAACTTCTCTTACCATTAGGCCTCAGCTCCAGCCATGCTACCCTGTTCGTTGTTCTTCAAGATAAGAGGCATACTTCTGCCTCAAGGACTTTACACTTGCTGATCCTTGAAAAGCTCTTCCCCCAGATATTCATATGGCTTGCTCCCCCACTTCCTTCAGGTCTCTACTCAAATGTCACCTCATCCCCGAATTCATTCCTGACAATAAAATAGCAACATCCTTTTCTCTGCCCCTATCAACAATCCCTTTTCCTTCATCCTTGTTTTATTTTTATTGTTTTATTTTTCTCATTAGAATGTTAGCTCCAAGAAAGCAAGAATTGGTTTGTATCACTACTGCCTTGAACTGTGCCTTGAACACAAGAGGCATTAAATATTTTTTAGATAAATGAACCAGGTAGGCGATTCCGTGATGCATGTTCACCCTGTTTTCCTTTGCAAAAACTTTGATCTGTGTAAAACTACAGGGATGACAATGAAGATTTAAAGAATATGCTTGATATTGCAAACTTTTGCTGTTATTTTTAAATTAGCATTGTTGGAAAAGGCATTCTATGCTGGTCCTCCAGTGACTCTGACCATCTGCTATTAGACAACAATTCTAGCCTTTTGCTTAGTAGTTGAAGATATGTCACTTTGTAGACTGAAGATGAAGAATAGGATAATATCTATCTTAGAAAAAAAGTGAAGAGAAAATGGAACTTGAGAATAGATCCTCAGGCTGTCAGGAGAAGAGAAACATGTTAAAATTAATGGTTAAAGGCATTCCTTATCTATGTTGAGATAATGGATGAGACACAAGGAAAAGATTGGGATGAAGTTCACCCTCATGCATGGCACTTTAAAGATACTCAAAAGATATTTACTAGATGATTAACTAAATGACCAAATGGAGCAAGGGGAGTAGCACTGAATGGGAAGGACATGTAAAAATATAATGTGTAAAGACTAGTCACAAGCATGGAGAATTCCTGCGAACTCCATTATGAAATTATAGATCTGGTGGCATGTCCAAGTGGCCCCCTTACTTGGAAGTCACTGTACAGAGTCAGCTTTTGTCAATGTTTAGAGATATGATGGCAGTGTGCAGAGATCCACTTAAACTTCCAGGGATCATGGCTACCTTTAATTAGATTAAAATCTACCTATCCTTAGCATACTACCATCAACGATGAATATATTCTAATTTTGATATTATAATATTCCAAATGAGAGGTATTTGCTTATACTTCTACTGCAATTTATAAAAGCTATACATACACATACATATATATGTATGGTACTAGTCCAACTATTCTTAACACTGATGATAATTTTTCAGATTTCCTTCTTTTAGTTTTGTATAGGCTAGAAACAATGTTTTCCTATTTTACCTTCCAGCACTGTCATCAGAATTAATATTCAAGTATTAATGCTATTTTTATATACTTTTATGTGAAATATCCAGTTCACTGGCAAAAGTAGAATTGGCAACAAGGAATGACCTGATAATTCCACCTACTCTATGTGGACAAGGCCAAAAGGAACAGCTTAAGAAAACTGAAGTCACAAATACCTGATTAGGGATGTACTTACATCCGCCAGTTCCTTGATGTGCTTTGCTGACACATCAAATGTATCGAGTCTTTGAAGGCAAGGCAAGTGGTACAATACATGTGTGGAATAATTCCACAGAAGACAAACTGGATTAGTTGTATATTGAGGATCATTGAGACATAAGTCCTTTAAGTATCGCAACCTGGTTAAGTTAGTGAGATCCTAAAACAACATCAATGATAACGTTCAATTAATTAATTGCAACTGTTCATTTCTAAAGGTGGCAAGGGAACACAATAGTACCCATAATCTAATGTGATGCATTCTAATTATGTGTTTAAATACATAATTGTGATTTAAATGGCTAAAATGTTTCTCTCCAGTGGAAAACATGCTAAATTCCTAAAGAACACATCAGCAACAGCAGACTCTATACAACTGTGTCTTTTAAACATTGTATTCCATGTATTCCAGCTGGAACCTTAAAGTTAGTGACGTGAGCACATTTATTCATAAGTATTTTGCCTTCTCTGCACAGCCCCTTCTCCTAATAATCGCTCTCATAGTACCCATGGGTCTTTGCTTCCTTCACCCGTTTCTTACACTTACCACCTAGAAACACTGTCTTGATTTTCCTTGCCCTCCGGACCTGCTCTACTGGTCAAAGCCTATGGGATCCTTGGTTATTATAAACAATTACCATGGAATTCCTGTTTCCTATTGCTTTGTTTGTTTGTTTTCCATAAATACCCATTCTACCTATTATAGTCAACCGAAACTCAACTTTCTTGAGGGCCTTGTTTTTCTCACAACCTATGGAGGGGGAGGAATTAATAATGTACTCTCAGACCAATGTTTCTCCTCAGATCTTTTATCTTGATGTTTAAGTCATTGTTTATGCCTTCCTTTATTTGTTATCTGGTCCCTGCTTCACTCTTGAGTCTTACCTCTTCCTGTCTAAACCCTAACATTGTATGAACCACTAGAAATTTCAGAATGTACCAGATCCCCTCTTGTCTTTACACTTTCACTCATGTTGCTCCCTTTGAGTGGACTGAATTTCACTCCAATTTCACCTTTTAATCAGGGCCCAACCCAGGGGTCATATTCTTTGGGCTCCTTGTTTCATTCCCCAAGGTTAGGGTAGATGTTCTTCCTGTGAGCTCTCTTAGCCATTGGGCTTAGCTTTGTTATGGAATGTATCATACCCTATTGCCAATTGCTTATACATCTACAAGTTTGTAAACCACACATCTGTATGGGCTTTAGCCCTCATTCTATAAACTAAGTATGGGATTCACATTTTTTTTTTTTTTTGAGTTGGAGTCTCACTCTGTTGCTCCCGGCCACTGCAGCCTCAACCCGCTGGGCCCCGGCGATCCTTCCGCCTCAGCCTTCTAAGTAGCCAGAATTACAGGCATTCACTACCACGCCTGGCTGATTTTTTTTGACTTATTGTAGAGATGAGGTCTCGCTGCCCAGGTGGGTCTTGAACCCACGGGTTCAGGCAATCCACTCACCTCAGCCTCCCAAAGGTGCGGGATTACAGGCTGAGCCACCGAGCCCGGCTGGATTCACATTTTTAAAGTGCTATAAAAAATAAAGAGGAATACGTAATGGAGCTCACTTGTAGCCCACAAATCCTACAATACTTTCTATTTGTTCTTTAACAGAAAAAGTTTGCCAACCCTAAGATAAACTCCTTGAGAGCAGGGGTTGTGTCTCGTACTGTATTCCCAATACTCAGCACTTAGAACACAGCAGGCACTAAATAAACATGCAAATTGAATTGATTATTACTTTCTACCAACCTCCAAGACATTCTTACATCGTCCTTACTCCTAGGATGGTGAAGGAAGTAAAAGGGTAGCATGGTAGGGTCAGACTTGAAAGGATGCGATGCTAGTCAGGAGAGTCAGAATTGGAGTTAAAGGAAATCCAAAGGAAGAACCAGGAGGTATTAGTTCTAAAGACAAAAGACAAACGTAATGGGAAATAGAGATGTCATTTAATCACCACCAGGAGGGTATCTTTTTAGGATGGGAGAAAAGGTTAGAGATAAAAATCTAGGACAATAGTGTTTCAGGAACATTCCTAATATGAAGACAGGTGAAACATTCACTCCTCAAGGATGTCTTGTCCTGACCCCACCAAACAAAGCTAGGTCACCCTTCTATATGTTCCCACAGCACTCTGAACTTACCTGTCATTGCTCTCACTATTCTCATCTGCAATTTTAGCATATTTAAGCAGAAAGCTGTGTTCACCTTTCACATTATTTTCTTGGGATAGATTCCAGTAAGGGAAAATAATAGGTCAAAAGATAGAAGCCTTTTTAAAGGACTTGGTACATATTGTCTAAATACTTTGTAGAAAAGTTCTTCCATGTTAAATAACTACCAACATCATATAAATGCCCATCTCTCCCCAATCACAGTGCAGAGTACCATGTTTATTAAAATGTTGATTATATCAAATGTAATTGAAAAGTTATATCATGTTTTCATTTGCATTTTATTCATTCTTACTAAGACTGAAAATTCGTTTATGAATTTAAGTATTGTGGTGTTGAATTCTATGAATTATCTACTCGTTTGTTCTTTCTTCTACTGAATATCTTGGGTTACTTGTTTCTAACAAATTTTAAATAGTTATTTTAATAGTAACGATAATTCCATAGGTTTTTTTTGCCTTTTGATTTTATGATGTGTTTAAAGACCAAATTTCCATTTAGTTCGTTTGATTTGAAGATCTAGTATAGTATCTTAAGCTGGCAGGACTAAAGAAGGAATCACACACGCGCGCGTGCACACACACACGGAGCTTGTGGGCTCCTCATTTTCTTCCAATTCCCTAAATGTATGCATTTTCTTTTCTTTTTCTTAGTCGGAGTCTCACTCTTTCACCCAGGTTGGAGTGCAGTGGCATACTTATGGCCACTGCAGCCTCAACCCACTGGGCTCAGGCGATCCTTCTGCCTCAACCTTACAAGTAGCTGGAACTACAGGCATGTGCCACCATGCCCAGCTAATTTTTTTATTTACTGTAGAGACGAAGTCTCGCCATATTGCCCAGGCCGGTCTCGAACCCATGGGCTCAGGCAATCCTCTCACCTCCACCTCCCAAAGTACTCGGATTACAGCCATGAACCACCACGCCCAGTCTATATGCATTTTCTAAGAGCACAGATTCATTTATAATGGTCATTTAATCCATATCTCCCATGATTCTTAAGTTGACTACTCTAGCTCTGAATTTCAGACCCTCATTTCCAATCGTTTACTAGATCTTCACCTCGATGGCCCCATTGGTACTTTAAACTCAACCTATCTAGGACCAAACATACTCTTTCCCCTCCCAAACTAGCTACTTTTTCTGATTTGTGTATTTCCTGAGTTTGTTTAGAAATGTAATAACAGATTCATTTTAGACTCTCTTGCACCTCCCTAGTTGCAAAATGCTGCAAATTCAACAACCATCACATCTCTTATATCTATCTCTTCTCCTTTTTCCTTCTTACTCTTCTTCTTCTCCCATCTTCCTCCTCTTCCTCATTTTTTTTACTGTTAACACTATAATTTAGATTCTCATAATCTTCCATTTAGATGATTTCTATAATCTACTAACTGGGTGTTCTGCTTCCAGCTGCACCAAGCCAATAAACACTAATTCCAGATTACTATCCCTAAAGAACATTTCTGATTATGTCACTACCTTGCTCAAAATTTTTGATATATCTTTGTTATCTATAGACTACAGTCCAAATTCAAGATTGAATTTTACTTTCTAGTCTTAGTCTTAATGTCCAATATTCTTATACATTGTCAGTCAAATGACAATGCTGGTGCTATTCAAATATACCCCTTGATTTCTTACTTCTTTGCCTTTGTGAATATTGTTTTACCCCTTAGAATGCCCCTTCCTCTACTGCTCAGAAGAGCCCCCTGAAATGCCTGTTAAAATTCTGTTGACCCTTCAAAGTTCATATCAAATATTTCCTCTTGAATTTGACTAACAATTTTGTTTTAATTTCCTTTTAAGGTACTTATTCTGTCTCACTCTATAGTCTTTTGGTCTTTTTATATTTTCCTCTCAGGAAAAGAATGCCTATTTTAATACTGATGAACTCAAAACTCTTTCTATAGTTAATTTATCCACCTTTCTTCAATATATTCTAGAGGAAGTGCTTGAATATGCACCTTCAGTCTTACACTGTCAAAATTATAAGTGATACACATTATAAGTTAACCTACATTATATATGATAAATTAATTAAGTCATTTTATTTGGTTGTTTCTCTGTCATTCGTGTTCTTGACAAATTGAGATTTACTACATATCTAGCCCTGGTTTTTTGTTGTTGTTGATGTTATTTATTTATTTTAAAGATATGGGGTACAATACAGGATTAGGTATACAAGTGGTCATTGTACAGGTAAAATTTGGGCCTCTCTTTGGTCCCCACTTTGCTTGGTTTGGGATCAGGTACCCTTATTGATGTTATGTACTCCCTCTCCCTCCTCTGGCAGTATCCCACTACTGCCAACCCCTTCCTTATAGTATTATGATAAGTGTTCAGGGTTCGCTTATGAGTGAGAATTATGGTACTCAGTTCTCTGATTCTGTGATAAATCACTGAGTATTATAGACTCTAAATCCATCCAAGCTGATGCAAAGTGCACAATTTTGTTCTTTATGGCTGCATAATATTCCATCGTGTATATGTACCACATTTTTTTTTTTTTTAGTCAGTCCTCTTTCTATGGGCAGCGTGGTTGGTTCCATGGTTTTGCTATTGTAAATTGTGCTGCAATAAACATGCCCATGCAGGTATCTTTTTTGTACAGTGATTTGAGTCCCTCCAAGTATATTCCCAGAAGGGGAATTTCCAATCCTGTTTTAAGTATTGTGCCCAGCCTGGACAATATGGAGAGACCTCATCTCTACAGTAAATAAAAAAATTAGCTGGGCATGGTGGCACATGCCTGTAGTTCCAGCTACTTGGAAGGCTGAGGCAGAAGGATCGCCTGAGCCCAGTGGGTTGAGGCTGCAGTGGCCATGAGTATGCCACTGCACTCCAACCTGGGTGAAAGAGTGAGACTCCGACTAAGAAAAAGAAAAGAAAATGCATACATTTAGGGGATTGGAAGAAAATGAGGAGCCCACAAGCTCCTCTAAGTGGAGATGCCATTTAGAGAGATGGGGGAAGCTGATGGAGGAGAAATCAGTCTGAGATAAGAAAAGAGTGATCAAAACAAGCGAAGTTCCTGTACTCATGAAGCATGTATTCTACTAAGGGAAGTGCCAAGAGGAAAATAAGATAGTGGGAGCATGATAGGGAGTGCTGCAGGATGAGGGAGTTAGCAGGGGTTTTGCTATTATACCTAAATTGGGCATGAAAGACATCACTAAGAATATGATATTTAACAAAGACTTTAAAGAAATGAGGAAATGAGTCATTCAGGTGTATGTGGGAAGACTATCCCAGCTGATGCAAAGGCTCTACGGTGAGTGTGTGCTGGGCATATGCAGAAAACAGTGAGGAGACCAGTGTGGCTGGAATTGAATAAACCAAGGATAGAGAGGTAGAAGCTGTGGCCAGGGAGACAGTGCTGGGGACTAGATTATGCTATCTTATGCACCATTGTAAGAAATAGTTTTTACCCTGAAAGAGATGAGAAGCCAAGGGAGAGTTTTGAGCAGAAGAATGATTTGATCTGACAAATGTTTAAAGACCCCATGAAACTGCTGTGTGGAGAACAGATTGATAGTAAGGAAAGGATAAACACAGGGAGAGTTGTTAGAAACCTTTTTTGTTTTTGTTTTTATTTTGGTTTTGGTTTGTTTTAAATTATGCAGGTTAGAGGTGATAGCATCTTGAACCAGGTTGGTAGTGATGCAAGTGGTAAGAAGTGGTCACACTCTGGACATATCCTGAAGGTGTAGCCAATAGAATTTTTCGATGGATTGAATGTGGGGTATAAAGGAATAAAAGGAGTCAAAAAAGACTATGTGGATTTTGGCTTAAGTGACCAAAAGAATGGAGGTGTCATTTAGAGAGATGGGGGAAGCTGATGGAGGAGAAATCAGTCTGAGATAAGATAGCAGAGGTCTACAGTTTTAGGGACTTATCAGGGAAAGTAAAGATACTAATTTAGAGAAATCAGTAGATAAAAGGCATTTCAAGTCATAAGACACGATGAGATTATTTAGAGAATGAATGCACATAGAAAAGAGAAAAGATCCCAGAACTGACCAAGGGAAGTTCATTTTTTAGATGCTAGGAGAGGATGAACAACAGAAACTGAATAGATGTCATTAGAAAGACTGGAAGAAAATTAAGAAAATAATGGTTTCCTAAGAGCCAGGTAATTAGTTATTTATTTGTTTTTTATAGTATCCAGATTATTAAGGCCAATGTAGTCAGTTGATTCCCAAATTTCCTAGAGTATCAGGTAGTCCCATTAATAATAGTATTCATTAAAAGGGAACTTTTAAGTACATTTTCTGAAACAAAATGGTTAATGATATGGGCTGACAAATAAAAATGAATTATTCCACTTAAATATACCTTGAAAGAACATATTTGGTTACCAGATAGATTTAATCTTTCCAGTTGTTCATTGGGATCAAGACATCGACCTTTAAAAAACAAGTTGAAAGAAAAATTAAACTTCTTGTTTTACCTCCTGTTCATATCCTGTTATACTTCTGAGGTGTATATGGCCATCATTTCTTAGATATAAGCAAGACTAATGGTACCATTGTATTGAAACCACTGATTAGTATGTAGTATTTTCACATCCTATAATTACAAGTTTAGAAATGTTTTGCAAAGGTATCAGAAAAAAATCTAAAAGAAAGAAATCTAAGCATGTACACTTTTATACTCATAAAAATTACTATAGCATTGCCTCAGATTTCAAATGAACTACTAGTACATACCAATGCTGCTTATTAGATTTCCAGCAAGGTTGAGATCATTTAAGTTCTTCAAAGTTTGTAAGCCCTAAAAATTTAGACAACATATAATTTAGAAAAAAAATCATTCAAATTTATATTTACAAGTCATCTCTGATCAATGTGGTTTGCTCTCCAGTTGCTCTAAGTACTGGGTGCTTTGTGCTTCAAAGCACAGAGGGAAATGGGAAATGAGTGCCTCAATGAAGCCATTTTTGTTTCTCTATACTGGAACGTAGAGAGAATTATTAAAGGAGGGAACAGGAAGGGGAGTGGAGAGGAAAAGAGAAGTAGAACGAGAAAGAACACATCACAGAGAGTATATTTATAAACTTAGGCAAGTTATATAACTTCTTTAAACTTCTTTTTTTATCCCCATAAAGAAAGAATACCAGCACCTTACCTCTGACTTCTTATGAAGAGTAAAGAAAGGGATGTATATGAAGCCCTCTGTACATTATAAAATGCTATACACGTGCTAATTATTTTTAACAATAATAATTATACTAGTCATAAATATTTTGGCCCTTGACCATAGTATGAAATCTGGACAGTGCAGTTTAAACTCCACAATAGTAATTGGCTTTACATATAAATCACGGAAATTATCTTACTTCAATATTTTTAATTGTATTGTGGTTCAGCCAAAGAACCTCCAATTTGGTTAATTTCTCTAAATTTTCTATTTTAGAAATTTTATTATAATACAAATACAGTTTTTCCAAATTTCTGCATTCTTGAAGACCTCCAATTTTCTGTAAAAAAAAAAAAAGATTGAATAGTGTTAGCTTATGTTTTGCCATTAATCCTTCTAAAAGGTAGGTTTCTAAGTAGACTTTCTTTCCAATATCACATTTTATTGCAAAATCAGTATCTATCAAAATAAACTTAATTTTTAAAAAGAAAACTATCCCCCACCTATATACAACTATTTTCAATTTTGCATCTTCTCTTTACATTTTAATCAACTTTATATATATTTTTATATGGTTGCAATTATAATGCATATTATAATTTTGCACATTGTTTTATACTTAAGACTAAAATGTTTCATAATCCTTCACACTATAATATTTAATAATTACAAAATATGTATAAAGTTTATAATACTTTTTGTAAAACTACCCCATGTGTGGCATATTTATGTTTCAATTTTTTAATTATTATAAGTAATACTGCAACAAATAGTTTCATGCATATCGTTGTTTTCTGCTGTTGAATTATTTCTCTAGGGTAAAATCCTAGAATAGGGATTTCTAAATCAAAAAGCATGTACTGTACATTGTTGTGGTTATTGATACATTTAGAAATACTGCTTTTCAAAATGCTATATTTCAACACAACCAATAGTGTCTAGTATTACTTAGTATTACTACTAAGTAATACTGACTATTATTTAATTTGATTACTAAAAAGTAGAACATATGTCTTATTTCTTTATTTCTATTTTTTCTTTTGTACAATTTCATTTATATCTTTTGTTCATTTATCTGTTTGACCCATGCCTCATGCATATATTTCAATGAATTATTTTTCCAAAGTCAAATAATTCAAAATAAAATACTACATATAAGTTTCTATGTTTACACTTACCTCTATACAGCACTCAGCAATCCAAAGTTCTTTAAGTTGGAAGCAAGTCTCTAACCCTGAAATTTCTTTTATATCTTGAGCAACAATCGTAAGACTTGCTAAATTAGGAAATAATGATAATCCGACCATATGAGGATACCCTGAGAAAAACATCTCCAGTTTTGAAGTATCTGATCCTTCTTGCACAACCATCTCATAAGATAAACCATTGCACAAACACTGTTTTAAAAGAAAGAAATTGGGTTATCACCTATTTTAAATAACTAAAAATGACTTTTGTCATTAGAAATGATAAATTGTCAATTGTGCTGATGCCATTTTTGTAATTTCACAAGAGAAAGTTGTATCACATACAAGGGGTGACCCCAAAAAACTGTAATTATCTTTTGAAGGGCTGCCTCCCTGCAGTACATTCAGAATTTGTTCTTTCAGATCAAACGGTCAACCAAAGTTTTTATCTGGAAGTTGTCAGAAGGTTGCATCACAATTTGTGGAAGAAACATCCTGAGTTGTGGCAAACAGGTAACTGGTTCTTCTACCACAACAATGCACCTGCCCACACTGTGCTGAGTGTTCAGCAATTTTTGACCAAAAAAGATATTACCCCTCTGCCCCAACCTTTCTATTCACCTGATCTTGCCATGAGCCACTTTTTTTGTCTCTCCAGATTTAAAAAAGTCCTTAAAGGGAAATGTTTTTCAATGTGGAAGAGGTGAAACAAAAAATGGCAGAAGCACTAAAAGACATCAAAATTAACGATTTCAAAACTGTTTTGGGCTGAGGAAAAAGTGTATTGCATCAGATGGAAAGTATTTTGAAGGTGACAAGTTTAAATATGTTAAATACAAATTTTTTTATAAATAAATTCTAGTTTGGGGGGTGCCCCCTCGTATATGACTTGTCTCTGCTTCCCAAAGTCATAGGGTAGAAGAAATCACTAGATACCCTTCCAGCTTTAGAAAGGAGCATAAAATGTTCCATTTAATATTCTTGCAAATGTTGTTGAAAAGAAATTTGGCTTTGACTCACCAGTTCCTTAATAATTTCTTCTTGGTTTAGGTTTTCACTTACAATCATCTTCCATTAAAAATAATGGTCATAATGTTATATCTGTTAAGGAAAATGAAAAACTGAAATAAATACTAGATTCAAGTCATTTCAAGTTCAAAAGGACCATAAAGCTATTAAGGTTGACTCACCTCCTTGTGGCTTGAAATCTTTGCATAGTACATTACCAAGTATCTGGCTGATCTGTCTTTCCCCTGACCTCCATCTTTTTTTTTTTTTTTTTTAGAGACAAGGTCTTGCTCTGTTGCCTAGGCTGGAGTTCAGTGGCATGATCCCAGCTCATTGCAACCTCAACTTCCTGGGCTCAAGAGATACTCCTACCTTAGTCTCTTAAGTATCTGGAACTGCAGACACACGCCATCATGTCCATCTATTTTTTTTGGTATTTTTTATAGACGAGGGCTCATTATATTGCCAGGCTGGTCTCGAATTCTGGGCCCAAGTGATTATCCTGCCTCAGCCTCCTGAAGGGTTGGAATTATAGGCATGGCCAACTCTTCTCCTTTTGTTGACATTATAACTCCTTGGTTCAAATAAAACAAATATAATTTGTCTTCTACACAACGGGCCTTAGGTACTTGAGGAAAATAATCGTCTCTCACCTACACTCTTACCTCACTCCCAGTTCAAGTTCTTAGTTCTCTCACTAGATATTTCTGTTACTCTTCTTTAAATAAGTTCTAGTTCATCCTTTGTATTATACTGTAGTGTCCAAAACTGAACACAGTTCTCTAAATGTTCTTAGAGAACACAGAATCGAATCTTCAGGGCTTAGCAACATGGTACAGTAATAAACATTTATAAAATGAATTCTCCAAATTTCCTTCACTCTAAATAATATGAATCAATTAATACTCAAATAGCTTCAATAAGATTTAACCCAAACTTCATAATTTTTAATATTTGTAAAATTAAAATTTTTTAAAATTAAAAATGTATATCTACTTTTCAGACATATATTATCTGAAACATACAGGAATCCTGATTTTAATATGATGACATGACAAAACAAGATACAGAAAATTGTGTAAAGTATGATCCCACTCATTATAATAACTCCCTAACAGATATGTGTGTACACATGTATACATATATATATGAATATGTTTGATATTTATGATTATCGTCAGGAAAAATATGGAAATATATATACTAAGTTGTTACCATGAGTTGTTTAGATGCAGATGAAAGCTGATGTGGTTAAAATGGAAATAAAAGGTTAAAAGGAGATAAACTTGGGCAAAAATGGGAAAAAAATTACACTTTTAAAAAAGCATGTTTGATATTGCATAGTGTGAATGTATAACCATTTATTTATTCTTTCTACTGTTAGTACACATTTGAACTGTTTCCAGTGGGAAATAGACTTCTCTGAACATTTTGTCATACAGGTCATAGCTAAAAATTTCTTTGGAGTTTACACCTAAAAGTGAAATGAGAAAGAAATATATATATATATATAGTTATATACAACATGAATGATTCTCACAAAAACAAGGCTGGACAAAAGAAGACATGGTGAGTATATGCTATATGACTCAATTCATATAAAATTTGAACACAAACTAATCTATGGCATTAGAAGTTGTGATACTTGCTGTCTTTCAGGGATGAACCACTATGAGAAGACAAAAAAGAGGGGTTTCTGAGTATGCCTAATGATACATATATTTTTTAATGTGGATGCTGGTTAAAGAAATAGGTTCACTTTGAGAAAACAAAATTAGATACCCAAGATCTGTTGATTTCTATATGTATGTTAGAGCTATATTCAAGTAAATTTCTACTTAAATTTTTATTTAAAAGCATTTATATGCTCAGTCTTATTCATTTAGCAACATTATTTTCTTTTGCTGGAATATACACAAATTAAAATTTTAAGAAAAAAATGATGACTTCAGCCCATGCATTTATCTACCTTCTCTTTCCAAATCCCACTAGAATAACTAGAGAAATATGAGAATGAGAAAGAAACATGTAGCGGTACTAGGGAAAGAGCATCAATTGCCAGAAATATTGAGAAACATCTTTAAGTATGACACAGTCAGCACCAGATTAAGAAAAAATCCATCAGTGCAAACCAGACCAAAATTCAAGATACCAGGGAAAGAAGTTTTACAAAACTATCATAAAATAATCCTTAAATCCAGAGCAGCAGTAGTTAGGAAAAGGGAAGTTGTGGGCAATACATAAGGGACCAAATCAAAAGACTGAAATATGTACCAGAGAACAGCACAGTATGTACTTGTACTCAGGCTTTGTAATTTGGGAACCTTGGCCCACCATACTAAGTAATGTAATTTGAATGTTTCCCTTCCAAAATTCAGGTGTTGCCAATGTGACAGTATTAAGAGGTGGAGTTGTTATTAGGTAATTAGTCATGAGGGTGCATCCCTTCAAATGGGATTAGATGCCCTTTTAAAAGGGCTGATTTGAGAGAGTTCATTCTTTTTTCACCTTTATGCCATGTAATAACACTGTGTTTCTCCTCTCCAGAGGAGGCAGCCTTCAAGGCATCATCTTAGGAGTCAGAGACCAGACTCTCACCAGACATCAAATGCAGGAACCTTGATCTTGGACTTCTCAGCCTCCACAACTGTGAGAAACACATCTCTGTTGTTTTTAAACTACTCAGTCTCAGGTATCTTACAGTAGCACAAAACAGTCTAAGACACTGAGTTAAGAAGGAGGGGAGTCACTCCAGCTAGAAACACAAAGAAAAATACAGCCAGCAGATTATTCCAATATACTGGATTTTGTTCACTCATTCATTCATTTGTTAGTATACATATTGAAGGCCTAATACATTCCAGTCAGAGAATGATATGAGTGGGAGGAAAGAGAAGACCTTTCTGATGAGGTGAAATCTGAGCAAAAAATTGAAGGAAACAAGAAAGAGTGAGCCATAAGGGAATCTAGGAAAATGCATCCAAGTAGAGGAAATAGGGGGGAAAAAAAAAAAGAATGGGTGGAGGATTGTGAGTGTACTTGATATGTCTGCAGAATAGCAAGGAAAATGTGACTTGAGCACATCGAAAATGGAGACTGGTTAGGATGTGAGGTCAGAGAGGTATTTCAGAGCCAAACCATGTACTATCTTGTGAGGATTTTAGATTTTATTATGGGTAATATGGAAAGCTATATGAGGATTTTTAGTGGAAAAGTAACATAAGCTGCCTTAAGTACTGAAAAAGATTGCTCCAGCTACTCTGTTTAAAATAGACTATAGGGGTCAGAGGCAGAAGCAAGGAGACCAGTTGATGGGCAGTTGTAATAATATTCCTGAGAGAGGATATGGTTGGAGTAGGGTAAAAGGAGTGGGAGTGGTAAGAATGGTTAGATAATGGATCTATGTTCAAGGAAATGCTGCTCATTCCTTCCCTGCTTCCCACGGCAATTGCATATTTACCCCATTCTGGGACAACCTCAAGATATTAAAGCATAGGCTGCAAGAGAAGCCAGGCAAGAAAGCACTCAGTAAGAAACAACCTGAAAGAATTTAGATACTCCATCAAAGGCTCATACACAGATGTGGGCCATTGTCTTTCCTCCCTAGGTTTATTTGGATGGTAGACTAAGTAAAAAGTGTTTTGCAGCCCATCTACTCACTGGAAGAGGAGCCCCCACATTCTGGTTTAATGACTGTGAGTGCCAAAGCAAAGTCTGGCTGCCCACCACCACACAAGGGCCAAAACCTTCCCTTCAAACCTACAAAGTCATCAAAGACTTGGTCTTTGTCCAAGATATCTATTCCGGAAGGAATTCAACTGTTTTCTTTTCTATATTCTAAATGATCACATGTACTTGGGTGTAATTTTGGACTTTCTAATCTGAGCTCTTCCTTAGCTCTGTCTATTCCTGTACCAGTACCTGTTTTAATTACTGTGATTCATATTGTAAATTTCCTCCTCATCTTTTTTTGGAAGTTTCTTGGATAGTTATCCATTATTTATCTTTTCCAAATAAGATTTATAATTATTTTGCATTTAATTTTTTAAAAATTAGTTGGAATTTTTATTGAGATTGCATTGTAAAGATTAATTTAGGGAGAACATCTATATTTACAGTATTGAGTCATCCTCCTGAACAAGGTATAACTCTCCATTTATTCAAGGAGACTATTTCTCTTAGTAGAAAAGTATGCACATTTGGGATACCAACCTTACCCATTACTTCACCTTATTTTCTCTTTATCAATGCCCTCATCTAGGAAAAAAAATTGTTCTAACAACAATTAGCAAAATAAAATTTAAAAACTCCAAATTCTAAAAATTTTACAATTACATCCGAATCATGAGGAGCATGGACCTTCCTGGTACTTAAAAGCCGCATATGCTTTCTCCAGTCACAAGTGGACATGAGGTTTCCAGAAGAAGCTTCTGATTCCATCAAGAGTTAAAAGTTCTGCTGGCCAGCACGTACCCACTCTCCTGTATTTTGGAAAAGTTCTTTTCAGGGAATTCCCATCTAAGAGACTGAAGGTCTTCTCCAGTTCCCTCAGGGAACCAGGGGCCACCAGGAGCTTCCATAGCTTTTACCCTTCAGATCACAAATCTTGGATTGATTCAGTTCTCTCTTCTCCACTTTAGATTGCTGCTGGAAAATTTCACTTAACCAATGTGGAGTTGAAGTGACTACAAATGCATGACCTCTAACTTCAGCTGGATCTTCAGCAACAAGTGTTGTATATTTTCTTCATCAACTTCCTCTCCTAGGATAGTGGGACTGGAGATCTGGACTTCATGACACATTGGCTATTCTAAACTCTCACCACTATTCTCAAGGTCTCTCCTCTCTCAACAGATTATCTTGTCCCCATTTTCACAGAGAACAATGATGCCATGAAATGTAGTTCTTTCAATTCCCTTTTCCCCTAAAGATGTATTTCTCTCTCTCAGATTCCTGTTTTAGTAGAAGTATTCTTCCTTTTGTCCAAAACGAACCCTTCTTCCTGTGTATTGATTCCATCCTCTTCTGTTCAGAACATTGCTCTGTCAAACATTTCTCTTTCTTACTTATTCCCATATTTCCTTCTCAAGGGTCTCTCTTCTTTCTGTATATGCATGTTAGATCTTTCCTATCATAAAATGAAGTCCCTCCTAACTATATTCTTCTATGAATAGCTCTTGTTAGATACTGTCATAGAAAAGCTTTCAGATAACCACCATTAGCAACACTTTACTGTCTCCACAGTCCTCGACCCATTGTACTCCAACTGCGGACACCTCAATCCATCACAACATCTATTTACCAAAGTCAACAAAAGCTTTCTAATTGCCAAAGACAGTAAATATGTTTCAGTTTTCAACCTGACCTTGACATGGCATTTGACAATGCTAATTACTCTCTCCTTTAAGTTTTCTTCTTTGATTTGGCTTTTTTCCCCCTTGGCTTCTCTTTACTTGTTATTTCAAACCTACTTTTCAAATCAGTTGTTTTCTTAGTGATGAAAAATAATTATCTTCCTCTTTCCTGTGCAAAAAAATATCCAACCACCCACATGAAAAGGTTCCATCTAAATGTGCCACAGGCATTTCAAATTCAGTATGTCCAAAACTGAAATCATCATATTTTCCAACCCGCCTGTTTCTCCTAATATATGCCTTCCCTTGATAAATAACACCACCATATTTCTAATCATCCAAGTCAGAAACATGGGACTTATTCTCAACCAATCTTTTTTATTCTCCCCCCTCCCAGGTTCCTCAGTCATTAAATCCTCCTGCATATAACTCTTAAATGTCTATCAAAAATTTTTTTCCTTTTCTGCATTCTAATTGCTCCTGCCTTGGTTCAGGTCCTCATCACTTCACCTTAACTTGTTGCCCTCCTTGTAGTTTCAATTCCCTCCCATCCATCCTCTACACCAGGGATCCCCAACCTCCAGGTCATGGACAGGCACCGGCCCATGGCCTGTTAGGAAGTGGGCCACACAGCAGGAGGTGAGCCGCAGGTGAGCAGGGAAGCTTTATCTGTATTTGCAGCCACTCCCATTTTGCATTACTGCCTAAACTCTGCCTTCTGTCAAATCAGCAGTGGCATTAGATTCCCATAAGAGCACAAACCCTATTGTGAACTACACATGTGAGGAATCTAGATTGTGCAATTCTTATGAGACTCTAATACCTGATGATCTCAAGTGGAGCTGAGGTGGTGATGCTAGCGCTGCAGAGTCGCTGCAAATACAGGTTAATTTTTTTTTTTTTTTTTT